GTTCACTTAAATGGTGGTGTTGAGGGTAGCTTGGGTCTGTGTGGATTGTAGCCTGTCTTACTGTGGTGGCCTAACTGTGCTGACCATCTATTTAGATTTAGATTTTAAACTCCTAATACTGTTGACAAGTTGTTTTAAGAAACAAAACTCTGGCCAGGGAGTAAGGCTGGAGGAAGGTCATTGGGGGGAAAAAAGGAGATATATATACTACTATTAGTTTTGTTTTTTAACATATTATATTGATTTCTTACAGAGAGGAATGGAGAGGGATACAGAGCCAGAAACATCGATGAGAGAGAAACATCGATCAGCTGCCTCTGCACTCCCATTGGGGATGTGCCCCCAACCAAGGCACATGCCCCTGACCGGAATCGAACCTTGGACCTTTCAGTCCGCAGGCTGACGCTCTATCCACTGAGCCAAACCAATTTTGGCTGTATTATTTGTAATACTTTAAACAATAAAATAAAATAAAAAAGAAAAAGAAAGAAACAAAACATAGGTGTTAAAGCCACCTCTACAATTGACTGGACTTTTAATTTGGTTTGCTTTCTTCCTCTTAAACCACAGATTTTATATTTCTACCAAAAAAAGTAAAAAAAAAAATTTTTTTTTAAACTGCTCTTTTTCTAATTTGTAAGTATAGGATTTATTTTTGTGCCAGACACATTCCGTCTTCTCATAATTGCAGTACAAAACAAATGTTATTAATGAACAAGAATGGCTGTAAATATTTTTCTCAGTACTCTGTACAATAAATGCTGTTTATAAAAGTGTTAGGTTGATGTAATAAATAATGAATTATAAGATTTATGTGATCATACTGTTTTTAAATAAGCCAAGTTTCTTTTTACCTTACTACCTATTTTTGTTCCCTTTTGCCTAATTTTACTGTCCCTCTTTTTAAAAAAAATATATTTTATTAATTTTATACAGAGAGGAAGAAAGAGAGATAGAGAGTTAGAAACATCGATGAGAGAGAATCATTGATCAGCTGCCTCTTGCACACCCCCTACTGGGGATATGCCGGCAACCAAGGTACATGCCCTTGACCGGAATCGAACCCGGGACCCTTCAGTCCCCAAGCCGACGCTCTATCCATTGAGCCAAACCAGTCCCGGCTACTGTCCCTCTTTTTAACTTCACATCCTTTAAGGCACTCATTACTTTCTTCTTCTCTAGTAGCTCTTTAGTAATAAAGAAAAATAATTTGATAAACTAATTTAGTATTGAATTTCTGAAACTAAGAGATATTTTCAAACACTATTGTCGGAAAATAATTTTTTTGTGTGGGTTCAGGCATTATATCTAAAATATAATCACCTTTTGGATATTTTATTGGTTCAAAAGAAAAGTTATGGTTGCAGGCCAAATAGAAAAGAGAGCAAACTACCACTTCAGTAGAAAATTACACCCAAGAAAATATGATAAAGAAAATGATGGAGGGAAGCTAATTGCTACTTATAAGTAAAAATGTCTATTGTGGCCTCTTTTTTAATATATTAGAGGCTGATGCAAAAAAGAGTAGGTCTTCCTTCCCCCCACTGCTGGCACTGGCTTCCCTCTGGCACCCGGGATCCCGGCTTCCCTCGCAGCCCCAGCTTCATCCGGAAGGTTGTGCGGAAGGATATCCGGTGTAATTAGACATCTTTTATTATAGATTTCTAGTGCCTTATACAAATAACCATTGGAGTTAAACAATTATTTCTAGTAGATTACACACTTGTAGTTTCTTATAAATAAAAACTAGTTTAGTTTTTTAATTATAGTGAATTCTATATATAATTTTCCTTGATATGGGAATCTGATATGTAGAATTTCATCACTACAAAATATATATAATAAATGATGAATAAGTGATGATATATATTACCCAAAATTCTGGTATATATTACCCGAAAATTCTATACCATTAAAGAAGATAATTACTTCCTTGTTTTTAACAGGATGTTCTCAAGTTATCAACATAATATAAATTAGCTATTGGTTTTCATTATCCTGGGAAATCAATGTCAGAGAAATAATAATAATAATAATTATAGTTGTAACATCAGGTTGAGTAAAAGAAGTGAAAAAGGCACTGGGGTTTTTGTTGCTATTGTGCATTTGTTTGTGTATAGAGTTTGGGTAAGCTCTAGTGAGAGAAAATAGTTGTGTGTTTTTTTTTTTTATGTTTTATTGTCATTTATCTATCTGTTTTTTGTTTCTTTTTTTTCTCTTAATCCTTACCTGAAGATATTTTTCAATTGATTTTTAGAGAGAGTGGAAGAGAGAGGGAAAGTCAGTGAGAAATATAGACGTGCCGGGACCAGTTTGGCTCAATGGATAGAGCGTCGGCTTGGGGACTGAAGGGTCCCGGGTTCGATTCAGGTCAAGGGCATGTACCTTGGTTGCAGGCATATCCCCAGGAGGGGGTGTGCAAGAGGCAGCTGATTGATGACTCTCATCGATGTTTCTAACTATCTCTCTCCCTTCCTCTCTGTACAAAATCAATAAAATATATTTAAAAAAAAAAAAGAGAGAGAAATATAGACGTGAGAGACACATTGACTGGTTGCCTCCTGCAGGGGTCTGGGCCAAGGAGGAGCCTGAAACCGAGGTATGTGCCCTTCACTGGAATTGAACCCAGGACCTTTCAGTCCACAGGCCAATACTCTACCCACTGAGCCAAACCAGCTAGAGCTAGAGAAAATGTTTGTTTGTTTTTAATATTTTTTTTATAGATTTCAGAAAGGGAGAGTGGCAGAAACATCAATGATAAGAGAGAATCATTGACTGGTTGCCTCCTGCATGTCTCCCACTGGGGAGAATCAATCCTGCAACCCGGGTATGTGCCCCCTGGACGGAATCAAACCCAGGACCCCTCAGGCCACAGGCTGACGTTCTATCCACTGAGCCAAACCAGCCAGTGTAAGAAAATATTTTTAACAAATATTTTGTTCCTTCTCTTCCCCCTAAAATTTAAACTTTGCTGCCTTAGGTTGTAATGAAAGAGCTGTCATGCAAAACAATGATCAATATGCTTGTGTATTTATTTATGTGTTTAATGCAAGTAGAAGACTAAGATAAGCCTCAATTAAATAAAATATTGTGTGTTTTCTTGCTACTTGCCTCTTGCTAAACTTATGGATACTGGCGTAATAAAAAATTAGTTGGGCTCTGATTAATCATTATAGTATGGGATTCATGTACATGTCTTCTTTTATATATTCTCATATACTCTTATAGTAATTTAGTTTTCATTTTTTTAAAACACAATAATAGCTCTCTTTCTCCGCCATCGAGCGAGGTGCGCGTGTTTGCCTCTCCCTCACCATGTCTTCCCACAAGACTTTCAGGATCAAGAGGTTCCTGGCCAAGAAACAAAAGCAGCCCATTCCCCAATAGATTCGGATGAAAACTGGTAATATAATCAGGTACAACTCGAAGAGGAGACATTGGAGAAGAACCAAACTGGGCCTATGAGAACTCACTCATGAGAGATGACTCTCATATTTATGCTGTATCCAGGTTGCCTACACCTTTAACTGATTGAAAAGATGCTACTGTCTGGACAGTTGGAGCATTTTAATTGGAGAATTAATGGACTTGTGATTTTGCTGTTGATTTTTTTCCCCCTCCTGCAACAGTAGGATGGTTCAGTAATAAATGTGTGAGATCTTAAAAAAATAAGTAAATAAAATAAAACACAATAATATTAATCTACACTAATAAAAGAGAAAAATTCTAATTGACTGTACCTTCACTATGCCCATAGCCAATCAGAATGAGTATGCAAATTAACCCAACAAAGATGATGGTTAGTTTGCATACACGAAGGGAGGGAGGAGTGAAGACTGAAGACAGCATAGAAAGAAGAGGGAGGAAAAGCAGAAAGCAAGGTGGTTGCCAGAGGGAAAGTGCAAGCGGGGCGGGGCGGGGTGGGGTGGGCAGCGACTGTGGCAGCTGCTTGCAGTAATCTTCCTGCAACGGGCCCCTAGTATATATAATAATAATATATACCGAATACCACATGTAAAAGAATTCTGTATCTAAAAAACTGAAGCACACTCCCTACTTATGATTTCTCTTCCTTTTGTTTCCCTACAAAGTGAGGAGAATAGCAACCTCAGAATTTGAACATATTTGTGAAAAAGTGAGCCCTAACCAGTTTGGCTCCGTGGATAGAGCATAGGCCTATAGACTGAAGGGTCCCAGGTTCAATTCGGTCAAGGGCATGTACCTTGGTTGTGGGCACATCCCCAGTAGGGGATGAGCAAGAGGCAGTTGATTGATGTTTCTCTCTCATTGATGTTTCTAACTCTCTATCCCTCTTCCTTCTCTGTAAATAATCAATAATATATATTAAAAAAGTAAAATAAAATACTTCTTAAAAAAAGTAAAGTAGGTGGTGGGGAAGGTATATCCAAATGCTATGATTCTGGACAGCATTCTTCTCCTTCTCTTCAATGACTGAAACACAGCTGAAAAATATGAAATTACTTCTATGGTGACAAATTTAGCAATTTTAATTAGTTAAGGATTAGAATAACTGAATGATCAAAGGTATACTTTGATTAAAAATGGAGTTTTAGCCCTAGCTAGTTTTGCTCAGTGGATAGAGAATCAGCCTGCAGAATAATAGGTCCTGGGTTCAATTCTAATTAAGGGCACATGCTTAGCCGGGACCAGTTTGGCTCAGTGGATAGAGCGTCGGCCTGTGGACTGAAGGATCCCAGGTTTGATTCCGGTCAAGGGCATGTACCTTGGTTGCGGGCACCTCCCCAGTGGGGGATGTGCAAGAGGCAGCTGGTCGATGTTTCTCTCTCATCGACATTTCTAACTCTCTGTCCCTCTCAATTCCTCTCTGTGTAAAATCAATAAAATATATTAAAAAAAAAAAAAAAAGGGCACATGCCTATAAGTAGCAACATTTCTGTTTTAATACATTTGAAAGATCTTAAATTATCAAACAGTTTATTTTGCCAAGAATAAATTAGGTAATAGCAGCACTCACCCACCTTCACTAACCAGCTCATTATTGTCTGACTGCTTACAAGAGATGATCTTCTCCACTAGTTGGTTGTAGCTGCAGTTACCAACAGCTTTTACAATGTCATCAATCTAGAAAACAAATGACTGTCTTACTAATCATGATAAGATTAAAAATAACAAAGAAACCAAGATTACTCTTTAGGGTTTTATTCTAATACAATACTAAAGATACAAATTATTTATGAAAAATGTCAACACTAAAATTAACATCCAACTGTTTTCAGTTTTGTTTACAGCTATAATATATTATAAAAATAATTTAAAAAAAAGAAAAATTTTGCTCAGCTGTATTTCAATTACGCAAAAAAATAATTAAATGAGCTTATTACATGCAAATTTATTTCTTAAGGTTGTAAAGATGCATTTAAATGATTAAAATAAAAAATAAACCATTTAAGGAAAAAAAATAAGAAAAGCTCAGTTTTTTTTTTCTTTTCTAAAATACAAATATTATCATTTAAGGCAAGGCAAATATAAAGATGCTAATTCATGAGATGAAAGTTTTTCCATTTTATTTATTACTAGAGGCCCAGTGCATGAAATTTGTGCACTGGAGGGGGGGTCTCCTCAGCCTGGCTGACACCCTCTAGCAGTCTGGGAGCCCTTGCCCCCATGTCCTACTGATGACTTAGGCCCACTCCCCAGCTGGCAGTCGGACATCCTTAGCACTGCTGCAGAGACAGGAGAGGCTCCTACCACTGCCGCTGCACTTGCTGGCTGTGAGCCTGGATTCTGCCTGAGCAGTGCTCCCCCTGTGTGAGTGCACTGACCAACAGAGGGCAGCTCCTTCATTGATCATCTGCCCCCTGGTGGTCAGTGCATGTCATAGCAACCGGTCGTTCTCCCATTCGGTCTATTTGCATATTAGCCTTTTATTATATAGAATTTACTTCCTAGCCAAGCATAGGGAAAAAAAAAACCAACTAACTTTATTTTCCTGAAGAAAAGTTAATGTATATTAATCAGGGACAGTATTTACCTAATGATTCTTATTTAATATTTGTCTTTGGAGATTGGCTAGAAAAATGAATTAAATATTTTAAGTTATAGGAATATAAACCTGGGCATCTCTACTCTCTATTATACTTTGCTTTGGTTATTGAAGAAAAATAGATTTATGCTGTGTCAACAATTTATTTTGTTTGCCCTCCCATCCCTAAAATATATTTATAAGTTATTTACATGTACTACTGTATTAATATATGTCCATAATAAAACAAGTACAAATTAATACAATGATATAAAAAATAAGAGGGTCAATGCTTTCTATCACCATCCAAATGATCTTCTTGAATACTTACTCTTTAAATACCATAGTCTTAACATATATCTGCACAAGAAATATTCTGGACAGTAGTTTCCAAACTGAGAAGCTTATTAAAAAGATTTAGGCCCTGGCTAGTGTGGCTCAGTTGGTTGAAGTGTCATCAGTGCACTGGAAGGTCACGGGTTTGATTCCAGTCAGGGCACATACCTCAGTTGGGGCTCATGTGAGAGACAACCAGTTGATGTATCCCTCTCACATCTATGTTTCTTTCTCTCCTCCACCCCATCCTCCCTCTCTAAAATTAATTTTTTAAAAGATTTAAAAGAGCCAAAATAGTTTGGCTCAGTGGATAGTGTATCAGCCTGCAGACTGAAAGGTCCAAGGTTCGATTCCAGTAAAGGGCATGTACATTGGTTGCAGGCACATCCCCGGTGGGGGTGTGCAGGAGGCAACTGGTCGATGTTTCTAACTCTCTATCCCTCTCTCTTCCTCTCTGTAAAAAAAAAAAAAAAAAAAAAAAAATCATATATATATATATATATATATATATATATATATATATATATATTTAAAAAAATTCCACATTCGCCGGACCGGTTTGGCTCAATGGATAGAGCGTCGGCTTGGGGACTGAAGGGCCCTGAGTTCGATTCCGGTCAAGGGCATGTACCTTGGTTGCGGGCATATCCCCAATAGGGGGTGTGCAAGAGGCAGCTGATCGATGACTCTCTCTCATTGATGTTTCTAACTCTCTATCTCTCTCCCTTCCTCTCTGTACAAAAATCAATAAAATATATTTTAAAAAAAATTTCAGGCTCAAGTTGTTTCTCAATTGACCATTCCACTGCTAGATAGCAAAATTTGAGAACAACTGCTCTGCTCTAGGCTATAATTTATTTATTTTACTAGAAACCCAATGCACAAATTTGTGCACCAGTAAGTCCCCTAGGTCTGGCCAAAACAGTCTCTTCAACATTCCCCAAGGGGTCCCAAATTGCGAAAGGGTGCAGGCCACAGGCTGAGGGACCACTGGTGCACAATTGGGCCAAGGGCAAGATACGGGAGGTTGGCCAGCCAGGGAGGAACCACAGAAGGGCTCTAGGGCATGTTTGGCCTGACTCACTCAGTCTCAATCAGTTGGACCCCAGCAGCAAGCTAACCTACCATCAGAGTGTCTGCCCCTGGTGGTCAGTGCACATCATATCAACTGGTCGACCAGCCTGTCTGCTCCCTGGTGGTCAATGCACATCATAGCAAGCAGTTGAGCAGCCTTAGCATATCATTAGCATATTACACTTCGATTGGTTGAATGGATGACCAGACATTTAGAATATTAGGCTTTTATTATATAGGATTCCTGCAAAATTCTACCATGTTTTGCAAAAGCCTCTTAACCATGCAAGTGGAACTGAATTGGTTGGTTGAGAAGACCAGTAAATTGAAAAAGTTAAAGCAGTGAATTACGGAAAATGTTATATACATATCTTAAAACATTTCATATTAACTAAAAGCAAATAAATGTATTCGCTTGTCAGTCTTTCAATGTAGAGTCAAATAAGGCCTTTTCTTTGAAAGAGGATCTTTTGGCTACGAGTCTACATAAACCACACAAAAGAGTATGACTTCCAGCTTTGATTCACTTAAAATGAAAATTTGAATGCTTAAGAAGAAATTTGAGGGCATAATTCTTTTAGATTTTCATTCTTTTTCTTTTATTTTTTAAAAAAAATATATTTTATTGATTTTTTTACAGAGAGGAAGGGAGAGAGATCAAGAGCCAGAAACATCGATGAGAGAGAAACATCGACCAGCCGCCTCCTGCACACCCCCCACCGGGGATGTGCTCGGGACCAACGTACATGCCCTTGACCGGAATAGAACCCGGGACCTTTCAGTCCGCAGACCGACAATCTACCACTGAGCTAAACCGGTTTCGGCTCTTTTTCTTTTTTTAAACACACACACACACACACACACACACACACACACACACACACACATATATATATATATATATATATATATATATATATATATATCTATATCTATATCTATATCTATATCTATATATATATATAAAATTGATTTTCTCCAGAGAGGAAAGGAGGAAGGGAGAGGGGATAAAAGATAGAAACATCAATGATGAGAGAGAATCATTGATCGGCTGCCTCCTGCACACCCACAGTGGGGATCAAGTCTGCAACCTGGGCAATGTGCCCTTAACTGGAATCAAAACTGAGACCCTTCAGTCTGCAGGCTGACACTCTATCCACTGAGCCAAACTAGCTAGGGATTCATTCTTTTTCTTAACACTTGTACTGTTTAGAGCATTTCTTTAATGAGTCAACTTCATTGTCTTTCCAAAGAACCTAAATTTTCAACCCTAAGGAATCCATTAAATACAACTAGAATAACAAATACCAGATCAATGTACAAAAATCAATTGTACTTCTATATACCTACAATGAACAATACAAAATTTCAAGTTTTCATAGGCTGAATCTCTGTATTAATATTTCATTCAATTAATTCATTGGGTGCCTTTTATACACTACTATATATTAGGTATTGATAGAGAAGTTGCAGATGCAGCAGAGAACAAAACAGATGTTCTATGCTTTCATAAAGTTTATATTCTGGAGCAAACACAAACAATAGATCAAATATATAATATGCTAGGTAGTTGTATGTAACTGTTCTATAATATTTCATCTTTTGATGGTTACCTAAGTTGTTTTCAGTTGGGACCACAACAAATAATAGCTAGGAATATTCTTGTACATTTATCCTGTTCCACATATCAAGAATTTCTCTAGGATAAGCATTTTCAAATTTCTGAATATTAGGATATCCTATCCTCAATTTTACTAGATAACTTGAAACTGCTTTCCAAGGTATACAGCCAATTCACATTACTTCAGCAGAAAATGAGAATACAATGTATATCTGATCCAACATTTCGTATTGTCAGACTTTTAGATGTTAGCCATCCTGATATGTGTAGAGTGGTATCTCATTTTGGTTTTAATTTGCATTTCCTGGATGGCTAGTTCATATGTTCACTGGCCGCTTGTATATAGATTCTTGTGAAATGCCTGTTAAAATCACTTGCTCCTTTTTTTACTGGATGGCCTACCTTTAAAAAAGTACCTCTAGGAGCACTTTACTGGTATACTTTCTGGATATTCATCCTAATGTAAGTTGTGATCATCTTCTACTCTGTGGCTTACATTTGCATTCTCTTAGGAATTTCTTTAGACAAATACAAATTCTCAGTTTTAATGTACTCATGTGCCACCTATGTTCTTCATAGTCAATACATTTGTGTCTTGTTTTAGAATCTTTTCATTATCAATGTTAAAAGCATTCTCAAATTATATAATTTTATTTTTTTACAATTAAAAGATAAGTGCACACGGAATATAATTATATAGTGTGATCTGGGGGAAACAATTTCATTTTTTCTAATTGGCTATCTAATTAGAAATATGAATTGGCTATCAAACTGGCTAACTATTTACATATCTAATTGTTTTAGCACCTTTTATTGAAAGGACTACCTTTCCCCTGTTACCTTACAGTGCCATAAATTCTGTCTATATATTCACAGTCTTTCTTAATCTTTAAAATATTTTGCATCTGGAAGAGTAAGTTGTTTCTACTTATTCTGCTTCAAGAATATCTTGGGTTTGCCCTAGCTGGTGAGGCTCAGTTGTTTGAGCGTTTCCATGCACCAAATGGCTCATTCAATTCCCTCTCAGGGCATAAGACCAGTTGTGGGCTTGATCCCCAGTAGGGGGTGTGCAGGAGGCAGCTGATCGATGCTTCTTTTTCACATTGATATTTCTCTATCTTTCTGTCCTTCTCCTTCCTTCTCTCTCTAAAATCAATAAAAACATAGTTTTATTTTTAAATGACAATCTTGGCTTCTATTCCTAGCTCTTTGTATTTTCATATAAATTTCACATTCTAAAACTGCTCCCACAAATCTGCTGGGATTTTGCTTGAAATTGTATTAAAACTATAACTTAAAGAGAAATGACATCTTTATAAACTCAGTCTTAAAATCTAAAATTTCATTTGTGTAAAAAAATGTATAGTCAGGGTCATAAAAAACAAGTAAAGCCTAGCTGGTATGGCCCTAATTGAGTTGGCCCCTAACTTCCTGAAGGGATACTCAGAATTCTTGGGCTTAGGCAGGTTTAACAGTCAGGGGGACCACTTCCTTAACCTCTCAATTTGGCTCAATCCAGGTAAAAACAAAAATATAAGTATCAGCCCTAGTCGGTTTGCCTTAGTGGACAGAACATTGGCCTGTCTACTGAAAGGTCCCAGATTCGATTCTAATCAAGAGCACATGCCCAGGTTGTGGGCTCTTCCCTAGTGTGGGGCATGCAGAAGGCAGCTGATCAATGATTCTCTCATCATTGATGTTTCTCTCTCTCCCTCTTCCTTCCTCTCTGATTAAAAAAAAGAAGAAAAAAGAAAACTCTTTAAAAAATATAAGAAAATATAAATCAATTTGCAAAAGTAATAGCATTTTACTAAATTTGTGTTTATAAAACTTACCTGAGGGTCCACTAACCACCCATGGTATAAAGGAATATCAAGAAGATCAAATACTATGCATTCTGGTGTATATTCAAACACTCGAACACCAGTGAATTTCACATTTACATCCAAGCCTGTCTGTAATTTGTGCAAGACTGCCATAGCATCACTCATATTCTGAAAACAGAAAAGGAAAGGATAACAATAAGAAAAGGAAATAGCAATAAAGAAGATATTTAAATGCAAGGACATTTCCTTCTAATTTTCCATTTTTGATTTTTATTAATATGTACTATGTGCCAGACACCAATCTGAGTTTTAAACATATAATATGGTCTCACTCATATATGGAATCTAATGAACAAAATAAACTGATGTACAAAATAGATTCAAAGACATAGAAGCAAGAACAGACTGTCAAATATCAGAGGGAAAGTGTGGTGAGTGGGTGGGTGGGTGGGAAGAGATCAACCAAACAACTGGTAAGCATATATATATATATATATATATATATATATATATATATATATGATCCATGAACACAGACAATAATGTGGTAAAGGCCTGGGGTGGGGGTATGGTGAGCTAGAAAGGGTTAAGGGGGAAGAAAAGAAACATATGTAATACTTTCAACAGTAAAGATTAAAAAACAATATATGTATATAAAATAAAATAGACAAAATTCCTGATCTCATACAATTAATGCTACTGTGAGAAACAAATATATTCTATATATATAAAAAGCTAATTGACAGACCATCCATCCGTCCGACCAGCCAGTGATTATGATATGCACTGGTAGTTTAAAAATAAACATTGACTTATGCATGCCCGATATATATATAAAGCTCTCACTGGTACAAATTGCACGTGTCTTAATTTTCGTAAATAAATCTTTATTCAGATTATTACAGTTGTTCCTCTTTTCTCCCCACATAAGTCCCCTCCACCTGGCTCCCATCCCACCCTCTGCCCTTACCCCCCTCAACTGTCCTCATCCATAGGTGTACGATTTTTGTCCAGTCTCTGCCCGCATCCCCCACACCCTTTTCCCAGCTGAGGAATGTCAGTCCACTCCCTTTCTATGCCCCTGGTTCTATTATATTCACCAGTTTATTTTGTTCATTAGATTTTTTATTCACTTGTTGATATGTATTTGTTGTTCATAATTTTTTTAAAGAATTCTCAGTTTTGTTTATTTTTATTTAAAAAATATATTTTATTGATTTTTCACAGAGAGAAAGGGAGAGGTATAGAGAGTCAGAAACATTGATGAGGGAGAAATATCATTCAGCTGCCTCCTGCACAACCCCCACTGGGGATGTGCCCACAACCAAGGTACATGTCCTTGACTGGGATCGAACCTGGGACCCTGCAGTCCAAAGGCTGACACTCTAACCAGTTTGTTTTTGGCTGTTCATAATTTTTATCTTTACCTTTTTCTTCTTCTTCCTCTTCGTAAAGTATACTCTTCAGCATTTCATATAATACTGATTTGGTGGTGATGAACTCCTTTAGCTTTGCCTTACCTATGAAACTCTTTATCTGACCTTCAATTCTGAATGATAGCTTTGCTGGGTAGAGTAATCTTGGTTGTAGGTTTTTTTTGTTTGTTTTTGTTTTTTTAAAGAACATATTTTATTGATTTTGTACAGAGAGGAAGGGAGAGACAGAGAGTTAGAAACATCGATGAGAGAGAGTCATCGATCAGCTGCCTCCTGCACACCCCCTACTAGGGATATGCCCGCAACCAAGGTACATGCCCTTGACCGGAATCGAACCCGGGACCCTTCAGTCCCCAAGCCAATGCTCTATCCATTGAGCCAAACCGGTCCCAGCTGGTTGTAGGTTTTTGCTCTCCATCATTTTAATTCTTGCCACTCCCATCTGGCTTGCATAGTTTCTGTTGAGAAATCCGATGACAGTCGTATGGTACTCCCTCATAGGTAACTGTTTTTCTCTGGCTGCTTTCAAGATTCTCTCTTTGTCTTTTGCCCTTGGCATTTTAATTATGATGTGTCTTGGTGTGGTCCTCTTTGGATTCCTTTTGTTTGGGGTTCTGTGCACTTCCTGGACTTATAAGTCTGTTTCTTTCACCAGGTGGGGGAAGTTTTCTGTCATTATTTCTTCAAATAGGTTTTCAATATCTTGCTCTCTCTCTTGTTCTGGTACCCCCATAATTAGGATGTTGGTACACTTGATGTTGTCTCAGAGGCTCCTTAAGCTATCTTCATGTTTTTTATTCTTTTTTCTTTTTTCTTTTCCAGTTGGGTATTTTTTACTTCTTTTCATTTCAAATCTTTGATTTGATACTTGAGATCCTCTAATCTGTTGTTGGATCTCTATATATTATTCTTTTATTTTTTTTATATTTTATTGATTTTCCACAGAGAGGGAGAGGGATAGAGAGCCAGAAACATCGATGAGAGAGAAACATTGACCAGTTGCCTCCTGCACAACCCCTGCTGGATATGTGCCCACAACCAATGTACATGACCTTGACTGGAATTGAACCTGGGACCCTTCAGTCCTCAGACTGACGCTCTATCTACTGAGCCAAACTGGTTTTGGCTGTATATTATTCTTTATTTTAGTCAGTATTTGCTTAATTTCTAGTTGGTCCTTTTTTATATCCTTGAGGGTCTCACTAAATTTATCGGCTGTTTCTAAAAAATTATTGAAAAACTTTATAACTGTGGTTTTGAACTCTACATCCAGTAATTTGCTTTCCTCCATTTCTGTCATTTGTAACCTGTTTCTTTGTCTCTGCATTTTCGCTGCTTCCCTGTGTTGATAGTGTGGCCATGTGTGCTAGGTGTCCTATAGGGCCCAGTGGCTCAGTCTCCCCAGTTACCTCTGTTGGACACTCTTGATGCATCACTTTACGGACTGTGTGCACAGTCTTGTAGTTAAGCCTTGATTGTTGTTAGTATCACTGGGAGGAATTGGCTTCCAGGCCAATTGGCTCTGAGAATCAGTTGTGTCTATGATGGGAGAACTTCTGTGCTGGAGACACCCTTATGAGGCAAGACTTGCTTCAGAGGGGCTTTGGTGCTCACTGAGTCTGCCCCCTGAGTGTGTCTCTTATGGATCTGAGGAGTTGTAATCTGGATGGTCCCACTCTGATCCCTGGGCACACTGGCTCCCGGATCTCCAATATGGAGGTGCTAATTTAGCCTCTGCCTGAGGCCACCTAGCAGGAGCTACAGAGAGATTTGCAGATTCCCCTTCTTTGTTTGGGGTTTGTAGGTGCCCAGATGAGGCCCAGCTGTGAAGCTACGCAAGCTGCTGTGGGAACTTGGGCCTTCTTTTGGATATGCTGGGTGTCTGACTCAGCTGCAGCTTGTTAGGTAATTTTAGGTTTCAAAGGACCGAGCCATTCATATGCAAAAACCTCTGTGCACAGCTTGGGGAGGCTGAGGTCTCAGGGAATCAACAGAGCGGAGCAAATAGCAATGGCTGATCATCAGCCCTGTCCAAAGAGGCCCTGGGTCTCAGTGTCTCTTGATAATTGCTACAAGCACCTCTGAGAGAAAGCCACCTTTGAGTTCCAACCGACGCCAGATAAACCACTTTCTCCCAGTATGAGTCTGGGTCCCCAGAGTTTTGCCTGGAACTGGAGTTCAGAGCAGTCAGGAGCTTGTGTCTCCCTCTAGGTTGGGAAAGACAACCACATACTAAGTTGCCATCCCCTTCCCTGCATGCCTCCATGCCTCTGCACTTTACTTCTGCAGCTCCTCTGAGTCTCAATGTGCTTTTCTCTTTCCTTTTAGTCGTAAAATTTCCACTCAGCCAGTCTTCCTGTGTTTCTGGATAATGTTCATTTGTCTTTTAGTTGTAGTTTTGAAGTGGTTGTGCGAGGCAGAAATTTCAGGTGTTTACCTATGCCGCCATCTTGTTTCCCACGTTTTAATTTTATAATACTATATTATATATACTATTTTGACATGTAATTTTTTGCAGTAATGTAATTACTGCACAAATCTTTCTTCTAATTAATTTCCTTTTATTGTGCATGAATCCGTGCGCCAGGCCACTAGTAAATACATAATATAATATCAAGTATTGGTAAGAAAAATTGAGCAGGACAAGGATGTACAGAGTGACAGGGGTGAGGGACCAATTTTAGACCAAGAAGCCTAAATATAAAAGTTTCTAGTCAAAGAAGGCCTCTTCCACGTTTAGGTATATATCCAAAATAATTGAAAGCAGATATATATATATATATATATATATATATATATATATATATATATATATATATATATATTTTTTTTTTTTTTTTTTTTTTTTAACCACGGGGACCAGGCTGAAAGGGAAGGGCAGTTGGGAGGGACCAGGTTAGCAGGGAGGGCAATTAGGGGCAATCAGGCTGGCAGGAGCAGTTAGGCACCAATCAGGAAGGCAGGTAGGCGAGCAGTTGGAAGCCAGCAGTCCTGGATTGTGAGAGGGATGTCTGACTGCCTCCCTGTAGGATCAGGCCTAAACGGGCAGTCAGACATATCTTGAGGGGTCCCAGATTGGAGAGGATGCAGGGACACCTCCCCTGCACACAAAAATTTCATGACCTGGCCTCTAGTATTCATATAAAACAAAGACTGTTTTATATCTTTAAATTAAAAATGACATATTTTAATATAATAAAAATTGTTTGTTTTACCTGTTCATAATTTAAACGTTGAATTTCTGAAATTTCTTTTGGCTTTGCATCAAGCATGTAATCTCCTGTAAAAAAAAAAAATTGTGAAGTTGCCTTTAAAAAATATCAGATTTAAATTTTAAATTGTAGCAATAAGTGACATAAAATTAACCACCTAATTCTAATAAAAGAAAATTGATATTAGTCTGAGATGTATATTTTTAATCCTCACCTGAGGATATGTCCATTGATTTTAGAAAGAAACATCAAAGTGAGAGAAAAACAGCAATCAGCCCCCACATCCTGGATGACCCCAACCAGGGATCAAACCCAATCCCACAACCTAGGTATGTGACCTGACTGAGAATTGAACCCACAACCCTTCGGTTTATGGGACAACTCTCTAACCAAGCCACACTGGCCAGGGTAGTCTCATATACTTTTTCAATTACATACTCTAATGCTTTTGAGCTTTCTCTTTCTTCCAGTTTATAATATAGTGGAGCAGTCAGTGGAGCAATACATCTTTCCATGTATTTCAACAAAGCTCTAAATGGCTGTACCAAGTTTCACTGTTATTAATAATATAACTATTACCCCATTACCTTTCCAAGAATGGGTGTTATCAGTCTTCTAAATGTTTGCGCCATTCTGAGAAGTAAACAAAAATTTTTTGCATTTAAAAAAATTGATGTATTTTATATATGTATTTTTTACTTGGTATCACCTATTTTATATATATATATATATATATATATATATATATATATATATATATATATCTTTTGGAATATGTGGCACCTTTTGAATATATGTAGCTTCATCTTACATCTGTAGTGCCTTATCTATGTTTTGTCTTTTTAATTATGTATTAACTATATATACTCCTTTTCTTTTAATTGCCTGCCTACACAAGTATTATTTCTTCTTATTGAACTGTAAAAGCTCTTTTTCAACTAGAGAAATTAGAACATTTATTATTATATATGTGGAAAATATTTGCACTCGTATTGGCTTCTAACTTTATGCTTATGCTTTTTTGTCTATTGTTTGTGTGTTACAGAAATATTTAATTTTAATTTGGTCAAATTCTTCTATTAATAGACAGATTGGATATCATGTGTAGAAAGATCTTCACATCTTAAAAGTATAAAAATAGCCTTGGCCAGTGTGACTTCGTTGGAGAGTCATCCTATACACTAGTGGACGGTAGGTTTGATTCCCAGTCAGGACACATAACCAGGTTGTGCATGTGAGGGTGGAACTGATGGATGTTTCTCACATTAATGTTTCTCTTTCTCTCCCCTACTTTATCTCTCTAAAAAAATTTTCCCCCCGATATTTTAATGATTTTTTACAGAGAAGAAGAGAGAGGGATAGAGAGAGAAACATCGATCAGCTGCCTCCTGCACAACTCCCACCAGTGATGTGCCCACAACCAAGACACATGCCCTTGACCGGAATCGAACTTGGGACCCTTCAGTCCCCAGGCCAATGCTCTATCCACTGAGCCAAACTGACCAGGGCTAAAATAAATTTTTAAAAATATATATGAACATTCACATATGCCTTCTTCATATAAATTTATATTTACCTTTTTTAATGTTAAATCTTTAATTTACCTGGTGTTTATTTTGATATAAACAATTATATATAACACCAGCTTCTCACCTAGCCTCCCAAATCACTAACAAATTGATGAAATTTTTTATAATACAACCTTTATTTTCTAATTAAAAATAAACTTCTAAAGGTTGCATCAAGTACTCTCTTAAGCTTTCCAACTCTACTAAAAAAAAACCTCCTACAAACATTAATATATTATTTGTATTTTTTTTTCAAAATATATTTTATTGATTTAAGAGAAGAAAGAAAGATAGGTAAAGCATTAATAATGAGAAAGAATCATTAATCGCCTGCCTCCTGCACACTCCCTACTGGGGATCAAGCCTACAACCTAGGCATGTACTCTGACTAGAAATGGAACTGTGACCTCCTGGTTCAAAGGTCAACATTCAACCACTGAGCCACACTGGCCATGCTATTATTTGTACTTTTAACGAGAACTTTATATATTTTATTAATTTTTTACAAAGAGGAAGGGAGAGAGATAGAGAGCTAGAAATGTTGATGAGAGAGAAACATCTACCAGCTGCCTCTTGCACACCCCCTACCGGAGATGTGCCCGCAACCAAGGTACATGCCCTTGACCGGAATCAAACCTGGGACCTTTCAGTCTGCAGACCGACGCTCTACCACTGAGCCAAATCATTTTCGGCTTAACTAGAACGTTAGGATAGCAAAATCTAGGTAGGTGTGGGGTTGAAGGGGTCAATGGGAAAAAAGGGGGACATCTATACTTTCAAAAATAGATACCTTTAAATAAATAAAATAAAGATAGCAAAATCTAGAAAATATTTTATTCTGAATAGGTACAAGAACTCCAAAAGCACTAAATGAATTGACTTTCCGAGATATATAAGCAAGTTATATAACAAATATTTCTGAGACCATATAATATGTACCATATTTATGTATCTCTAAATATATATCTATATACATGTATGTATATATATATATACATACATGTATACACACACACACACACACACAGACATATTTGAGAACATAATTGCTATACTTGTATCCTATATGTCATTTGATAGAATTGGATATTTTTACTTATTATTATTATTTTTTATTGATTTCAGAGAGAAAGGGAAAGGGAGAGAGAGATAGAAACATTAAGTGATGAGAGAGAATCATTGATCAGCTGCCTCCTGCCCACTCCCTACTAGGGATTGAGCCTGCAACTTAAGCATGTGCACGTAACCAGAATAGAACCTAGAACCTTTCAACCACCGGCCAACACTCTATCCACTGAGCCAAACAGGCAAGGGTAAAGAATCAGATATTTTATTTATTTATTTTTAATTTCAGAGCATTTTATTTTTTAAAAATATATTTTATTGATTTTGCACAGAGAGGAATTGAGAGGGACAGAGAGCTAGAAACGTCATTGAGAGAGAAACATCGACCAGGTGCCTCTTGCACACCCCCGCACAACCCCCACTGGGGATGTGCCTGCAACCAAGGTATGTGCCCCTGACCGGAATTGAACTTGGGACCTTTCCGTCCACAGCCCGATGCTCTATCCATTGAGCCAAACCGGTCTCAGAAAGAATCAGATATTTTTAAAAGGCAGAGTTTGCACAGAGAGGAATTGAGAGGGATAGAGAGTTAGAAACGTCATTGAGAGAGAAACATTGACCAGGTGCCTCTTGCACACCCCCGCACAACCCCCACTGGGGATGTGCCTGCAACCAAGGTATGTGCCCCTAACCGGAATTGAACTTGGGACCTTTCCGTCCACAGCCCGATGCTCTATCCATTGAGCCAAACCGGTCTCGGAAAGAATCAGATATTTTTAAAAGGCAGAGTTTGTCGCTGTCTGATTTGCTCAGTGGGTAGAGCATTGGTCTGCACACTGAAGGGTCTGGTCAAAGGCATGTACATAGGTTGTGGGTTCACTCCCTGCCCCTGGTCAGGGCATGTGTGGCAGGCAGCCAGTAGCAACCAGTCTCTCTCACATCAATGTTTCCCCCTCTCTCTTTTCCTCACTCCCTCCCACTCTTGCTGGAAAGAAATAGAAAAGCCCTGGCCGGTTTTGCTCAATGGATAGAGCATTGGTCTGCGGACTCAAGGGTCCCGGGTTTGATTCTGGTCAAGGGTATGTACCTTGGTTGTGGGCACATACCAAGTGGGGAGTATGCAGGAGGTAGCTAATCGAAGTTTCTCACTCTCCATCCCTCTCCCTTCCTCTCTGTAAAAAATTAATAAAATATATTTTAAAAATGGAAAAAATATCCCCCAGGTGAGGATTAACAAAAAAAAAGGGGGGGGGGCAGAGTTTGAGTTTTTAAGGGAATATCTTTCAGATTTAGATTCCTAAATAAATCTTCTCTTAAGAGTCCTGTTTTGTCTAGCTTTTCTAACCTTTATTATCTGAAACTGGTCAACAATATTATTTGAGTCAGTAGCTCTTCCTGAAAGCAGTCAGAGGTGACCTCTGAAAATAGTTTGCTATTTACTTGACCCAGAAAGCCCCACAAAATCATGCACATCAAAATGTTCAAAACTTCTTCACTTTAAGAATACTTGTGAAACTGCCCAGGCCATCAAAGGTATGCATATTCAAAAAGCCACCAAGTATCTGAAGGACGTCTCTTTACAGAAGCAATATGTACCATTCCGTCGTTACAATGGTGGAGTTGATAGGTGTGCCCAGACAAAACAGTGGGGCTGGACACAAAACAGGGTGGCCCAAAAAGAGTGCTGAATTTTTGGTGCACATGCTTAAAAATGCAGAGAGCAATGCTGAACTTAAGGGTTTAGATGTATATTCTCTGGACATTGAACACATTCAGGAGCACAAAATTCCCAAGATGCAGCACAGAATTTACAGAGCTCATGGGCGAATTAACCCATACTCCAGCCCTCTCTACGACACTGAGATGATCCTTACTGAAAAAGAGCAGACTGTTCCCAAACCAGAAAAGGAATTTGTACAGAAGAAAAAAAAGATATCCCAGAAGAAACTGAAGAAACAAAAACTATGGCCCTGGCCCTGGCCTGTGTGACTCAGTTGGTTAAACTGTCCTCCCAGGCATTGAGAGATCACCAATTTGATTCCTGGTGCTGGTACATTCCCTGGTTACAATATTAGGTATAAATCCCCGGTAGAGGGCATACAGGAGGCAGCCGATCGATATTTATTTTTCTCTCTCCCCCTTCTCCTTTTCTCTCAATAAAATAAAAAACAAAAAACAATACTAAAAAAAAGAAAAGAAAAGAAAAGAAAACCAAACACAGCCCAAGAGTAAATTCAGCATAAAATAAAGTAAAAAAAAAAAAAAAAAAAAAAAAAAAAAAAAGCAAAGAAAGCAAAACTATTTATTGTGAGTCTATTATATGTTTAGTAATGGGTTAAAACAAATATTAGAAAATGAATGGTTCTCTTTAAAAACAATAATTTGCCCTAGCTTGTTTGGTTTAATGGATAGAGTGTCGGTCTGTGGACAGACGGGTCTCAGGTTCAATTACAGTCAAGGGCACATACCTGGGTTATAGGCTCAATCCCCAGTAGGGGGCATGCAGGAGGCAGCCAATCAATGATTCTCATCATGATGCTTCTACTTCTCTTTCCCTCTCTGAAATCAATAAAAAAATATTTTTAAAAAACCAATAATTTTGCCGAAATTTTGGCTCAGTGGATAGAGCATCGGTCTGCAGACTGAAAGGTCCCAGGTTCAATTCCGGTCAAGGGAATGTATATTGGTTGCGGGCACATCCCCAGTGGGGGGTGTGCAGGAGTCAGCTGGTGATGTATCTCTCTCATCGACGTTTCTAGCTCTCTATCCCTCACCCTTCCTCTCTGTGAAAAATTAATAAAATATATATTTTTTTAAAAACACCAATAATTTAGTTGGGCAAACATAGGAAACAGAATAAAATAATGATAAAGTATAATATAGTTAAAATCTGCCAAAACCGGTTTGGCTCAATGGATGGAGCATTGGCTTGGGGACTGAAGGGACCCGGGTTCGATTCGGGTCAAGGGCATGTACCTTGGTTGCGGGCACATCCCCAGTAGGGGGTGTGCAAGAGGCAGCTGGTCGATGATTCTCTCTCACCGATGTTTCTAGCTCTCTATCCCTCTCTTCCTCTCTGTGAAAAATCAATAAATTAAAAAAATAAATAAATAAAAATAAAATAAAATCTAATAAGTGCCACCCTGTTAGTCTAATCCTCACACAAACTATTTCAGGTAAGTAAAGTTACAATATAAATTCTAATTTGCGTTATACTTTTTTATACATTATTTTTCTATCCATTTTCTACTTTCCACCTACACTTTTTCCTCACCTTATTTTATTAGCTTCCTAGCACTTCCTAAGTATTCTAACTTGTCTTGTTCATTTCTTTATGCCAAAGCTCTCCAACAAACCTTGCCCATGTATAGCCCTGCTCTACTATTCTAGTAAGAAATTTCCAAATTAAAATTCACTCCTCATCTAACCTATGCCAATCAAAATTCCCATTCCTGTGTGGTTTCTCAGCTAGGTGCTAGAAAAAAAATTAATAGTTTTTCTTATAATTTTTCTACAAGTGTTTGCTTATTAATTTGAAAGTATCTCTGGTTACTCTAGAGAACTGAAGTAATCTCAAGAGGAAAAAAATCAAATAGTTTAGAAAATTAAACAATTTGTCCTAGCAGGATTGGCCCTGAATAAAGTTTACTTTTGGTGAGGCAAATTCTTCAGAATTTCTTTTCTCATACTACTCTTGCTCATTTTTCCAACTCCCATTAGGATATTGCTTTCACGCTACTCCTAGTTGCTGATTCCCCCTCACCCAAAACTTACAAACCTCTTAAAATACCCCAAATCTAGATATTTCTTCATTAATATTTTTTTCCCTATTAAAGATTTCTACTCTGTGGCCTGTTTTCTCAAAGCTTTGCTAACCAACATTTAAATGATATTAATATTCCAAATGTCCTCCCTGCCTTTAACACCCTCTATTTGCTTTTGTCTGCATATTTTCTGAGACAAAATGAGCTGTTACTTTCCTATTGGCTGTATATGAGGATTTCCAGTTTTCTCTTGTACTCATTCCAAGGAGGTTTTCATCCCATGCATTTACTTGTCAAAGTTATCAATGGCCTCCTTATGGCTCAGTCAATGGTCTAATTTAAAGTCTTCTTCCTGTTTGAACTACTTGTAGCATTTGATCCAGCTAATATCTTACTCTTCATTGAAGGTTCGTGGGCTGACGCTCTAACTATTGAGCAAACCGGCCAGGGCCCTAAGTTCTATTTCAACATCACAGCCAGAGAATTCTTATTAAACTCAAGTCATATCATGTCAGTTCTCTGTTCAAAATTCTCTAATGGCTTACCAGCTTACTCCCAGCTAAAGTCAATGTTATAATAGTCCACAGAGCCCTATATGATCCGACCCTATTACTTCTCTCTCATTTTCTACTAACTCCCCTTTACACACTACTCAGCAGTCATACTGGCTGCTCAAGAGCAACAAACATATTTTAGCCTCCCTCTTAAATATAATTTAGAAATCACAAAGTCTAAGAATCACTAAGCTAGACTAAAAAAAGTATAGATATTTTATTTCTAGATATCTAGGTATTCAAAGTAATCTACCCATATGTAAGACGTTCCCTAGCCAGTAAATATCCTATGCAATAAAAGTCTAATATGAAAATCAACCAAATGGTGAAATGACTGGTCGCTATGATGCATTTTAACCACCAGGGGGCAGACACTCAATGCAGGAGCTGCCCCCTGGTGGTCAGTGCACTCCCACAGGGGGAGCTCCTGCATGCCCTGTACTGGGGATTGTATGGGCTCTCAGCTGGTGAGTGCAGCGGTGATGGTGGGAGCCTCTCTTGCCTCCACTGCAGCATTAAGGACCCCTTGGGGGATGTCTGCAAGAGGGCACACCAGCCCCCAGTGCACAACGTTGTGCACTGGGCCTCTAGTAATGAAATAAAATATTAATTACACACAAAAAAGGGTCTTCCAAAAGCTGCAATCTCAATTACATCACAGACCCTACATCTCACAAAAAAAAAAGTTAGCTAGTTTTCTGGAATGACAAAGACAAAGTAATCAGCTGACAATTTAAAAAAAAAAATTACTAAAAAAAATTGTGAGAATATGGACTAAGATTTCTAATTGGTAATAGTATAAATATATAAACTTTTCTTTGTTAAACCAGGAAAGATCTCAGTGTGATATACAACTACCTGCTCTGTAAACAAGTTCTACTCAATGCAGCTGATCTGTAAACTGTGTATTGATGGTCTGTTTTGAAATAAGAGGCTTGCATAATAATGCAATTCAATACACTATTTCCTTCACCAAGAAAATTTTGCTATGAAAAAGTTTCAGATAAACTAAACAGTGAGTTTACTACTGTAAAGGTTTTACATATTGGCACAAGTCCCTTTCTCACTGCATACTGATAGCTAACATTTCTGGCTATCAGTCCATGAATCATACTTTGGGTAGCACTGCTCTAAATCACCCTCTGGGTCTTTATTCAAAGATAATCAGTACTTTTTATTTTTAAACTTTTTATATATTTTATTGATTTTTCACAGAGAGGAAGGGAGAGGTATAGAGAGTTAGAAACATCCATCAGGTGCTTCCTGCACACCCCCCACTGGGGATGTGCCTGCAACCAAGGCACATGCCCTTGACTGGAATCGAACCTGGGACTTTTCAGTCCGACGCTCTATCCACTGAGCCAAACCGGTCAGGGCAGTATTTTTTATTTTTTATTTTTAATATTTTTATTAAGTTCAGAGAGGAAGGGAGAGGAAAGATAGAACATCAATGATGTGAGAGAATCATTGATCGGCTGCCTCCCGCATGCCCTGTACTAGGGATTGAACCCACAACCCAGGCATGTGCCCTTGACTCTTCAGTCCACAGGCCAATGCTCTTCTACTCTAGTCACTGAGCCAAACCAGGTGGGTGTAATCAGTATTTTTAAAAACAATATATACAATATCAGAGTTTCTGTGCTACTTATCATTGTGCAACTTATTGGAATTAATGTATATCTTATGTTTTCTAGATGTTGTTCAGTCTCCTTATAAATATTATAAAATTTTAATCCTGGTCAGAAAGAAGGCTTTAACATCCAAAAAGAATGAATACTGATAAAAAATTATAATGTCTCTCTCTCATTGAAGTTTCTGGCTCTCTATCCCTCTCCCTTCCTCTCTGTGATAAATCAATAAAATATATATATATATATATATTTTTTTAAAAAAAATTATAATTAAGAGATTAAAAATTATAATTTTAAAATAGATTATATAATAGTACTTCTGGAACATGAGATTTAATAACATGTTTTTTATATGTTTTTATTTTATTTTATTTATTTCAAAGAGAGGAAGGGAGAGGGAGAGAGAAATATCAAAGATGAAAAAACCATTGATCAGCTGCCTCCTTATGCCCCCTATAAGGGATTGAGCTTACAACCTGGGCAGGTGTCCTGACCAAAAATGGAATCATGACCTCCCAGTTCATGAGTCAACGCCAAATCACTGAGCCACACTGACCAGACTTAATAACATATTAGCTTTGAACACTTTGTTTTAAAAGAGATATAAAATCATCCACTTTTCAACACTAACCTAAATATTCCATCAGCTGTTCAGCAGTTATGATTTCCATCATCGGTGGCAGTTTAACCTGAAAAACAAATTATTTTTTTTCTATAAAATCAAATGTTTTAGATAATTAAAGTGTTTCTCTGTCAGAAAAACAAATATATATGTACATACATGTATCGACTATTTATATACATTAACATTATTAAAATGCTGATAGTGAATCTTTATAATATATAACAGTCAATCCTATAACAATAAAATTTACAGGATGATATAAGGTCTCATAGACATTGAGAAATCTGTTTCCAATGCATAGTGCTCTGCCTTTCACCACTCACCATGATTGTCATTAGGCACCTGTAACAGTGTCCTGCATGATAAAAAATGCAGTTCAAGGGCAGGAAAAGGCATCAAACATGTTGTGACAGGTGACTCACCGAACAGTTTTATTGAAGACAGGCTTAAATACAGTTCAATATCCAATTACTTTAGTCTACGCTGGCCATTTTTTATTGTGAATGACTAACATGAATACATATTGAAGTATTAGTCACACACTGAAGAATTCAGACTGTATTATTCCACTTGTAAAGTTTAAAAACAGGTAAAATTAAGTTATATTGTTTAGAGCTGCATATTTGGTGATAAAACTACAAAGAAAAGTAAGGAAATGGATACAATAAAAATCAGGATTATGGTTAGCCCTAGGAATAAGAGAAGTGATAGTTTGAAAGGATCATATTAGACATCTGAGGTGCTGGCAATGCTCTATTTCTTTCTTTTCTTTTTTTAAAAAATATATTTTATTGATTTTTTACAGAGAGGAAGGGAGAGAGAATAGAGTTAGAAACATCGATGAGAGAGAGTCATCAATCAGCTGCCTCTTGCACACCCCCTACTGGGGATGTGCCCGCAACCAAGGTACATGCCCTTGACCGGAATTGAACCCAGGACCTTTCAATCCCCAAGCCGACGCTCTATCCATTGAGCCAAACCGGTTTCGGCAGCAATGCTCTATTTCTTGACTTGCACGGTAGTTCTGCTGATGTTTGCTTTACAATAAATTGTTAAACTGGACATTTCTGTTTTATGTTTCTTTTCTTATTATATTCCACAATAAAAAAGTAAAAATTAGGTACATATTTAAGTTTCTAAAGCTAATTCAGATGCAACACATCAGTCTAAATTAATTTTTCCAAATGAACTGGCAAGAGTTACACAGATATTACAGCTAATAATTATAAATATTTTAAGTGACTTATTCAAAAGCATACTCTGTGGTATATTTATAGGAAAAAAAATAAATAATGTAGGATGGAAATTCGAAGTCATTAACATATCAATAAGAGAAGAACTGCATGATTTAAAATTGTTCAGAATTATTTTCCACTCAACCAAGGAAATAATTTAAATCGGCAATTTCTTAAAATTCCCCGTGTTGAAAAGGTCTTCTGGGTGTTCAAGTTACCAAATGCAGTAATAGCATGCCACAATTTTTTGTGTTTGTTTTAATCAATGAATAAAAAAGGTCTTATAAAAGATCCCTGTAACATTGAACAATGTGAGAATCTCTGAGAGCATATATGATATTTGATGCTTATGATTTAGTCATCCAGTGGATTTATTACTCAGTGCACCCAAGAGATTCCATGGAGGTTTGGATCATTGCTCAGTAATTATTTTCATTTAGTTTTAAAAAAATTATAATACTTTTTTTTTTAAAGCAGTATTAAGTTTACAAAAAAAACTGAGCAGAAATTATGGAGAGTTCCTATATTGGTATGTTTTTAAACTAAAACTTACTGGCAAATTATGGTACCTGCTTGTTTTTATAAATAAAGTTTTATTAAAACAGGATTTATGTATTGTCTGGCTGCTTTTGCACTATAGTAGCAGATTGAATCTAGCCTAAAATATTTACTATCTAGCCCTTCACAAGAAAAGTTTACTGATCCGTGCTTTAGGTTATTTTTACTGCTTTCAGTATTGCTTTTGGATGTCTGATATTTAAACTAATAGTTTATATTCACTGTGAATGTTCATATTCTGAACAATTGTCAGACCAATCTGAAAGACCATTATATCTAACAATGTTTCTTAAACAAAATAAGACCTACATATTCTTTTATTCCAGACATACTCGCTACTGAAATATATTCACCAGAAAATTCCATAAACAAAGCTTATCCTCTGCTTTGGTTAATGTAATAATCCTACTATAAAATTATCAAGGTAAGAAACAAAGGCACTAACAAGTATATGTATTTGGAAAATATATTCTATAAACAAATTTCTGAAAACAGATAATTTCAGGGTTTAGCCTTGGAATTTCCAAATAATTGCTTGTCTTCAAATATCTGAAATAGAAAATGACAATCTCTATATTGATTTTAAAAGTGGGACAACAGCCTAAACCAGTTTGGCTCAATGGATAAGAGCGTCAGCCTGCGGACTAAAAGGTCCAGGGTTCAATTTCGGGCATGTACCTTGGTTGCGGGCATATCCCCAATAGGGGGTGTGCAGGAGGCAGCTGATCAATGATTCTCTCTCATTGATGTTTCTAACTCTCTATCCCTTTCCCTCTCTGTAAAAAATCAATAAAGTATATTAAAAAAAAAAAAAAAGAAGTGGGACAACAAATACACAAATATTTTAACTGACTTATTCACAAGTATACTCAGTGGTATATTCATTTTCTGAATCTAAGCCAATAAAATATCCTGGATGTTCATTAAAACTAGAAACAAAAGAGTTAATAGTGAAGAAAAATACCTGCCTCTCACTAACAACTAACACTTTGGAGCTATCAACAGATGTTAGTTTTTTTAAATCCACAAAATGATATTCCTGAAAGCTTGCTTCTCTTTTTGCTTTCCTCTCTACCACAATCACCTTAAAAGCCAGTGCCAAGGTTTTATTAATGATCCTAAGATTGAAGGGCTTCCGGTTGGATTCTGAGTACCTCATACCTCGGCTGCTGCCTGGATCCTGGCCCAGTTGGGGCTTGTGCAGGAGGCAGTCAATTGATGTCTCTCTCTCTCTCTCCCCAGCTTTGTTCCACTCAATGCAAAATAAAAATCAATGGAAAAATATTCTCAGGTGAGGATTAACAACAGCAACAAAAATGTATTTTAAAAAAGAAATTAGCTCTTAGGTAATCTGGCAAATAGCTCCCTCAGTTTGTAGCATGTTTTGATCTAGTTCCTGGTGTGTGTGTGTGGGGGGTGGGGGGGGGGTGGGGGGGGGAGATTGTGATGGTGAGGGGTGAAGAGGGTGGTGTCTTTTTGTCCTATTTTTCTTTAACCGTAAGCTCGTTTTGTTTTGTTTTGTTTTGTTTTTTACCAAAATAAGAATCTGATGTATTATTATTTTATGGTTTCTAGGACTAATGTTTGGAAAAACTGTGGTATGCAGTTAGACAGACATGAGCAGAACAATGAGGATGGGCTAGGTCACCAAGGTGGAAAGCCTTGGGTGCCTAGCAAAGGACAATTGTAGGGTGGGACCTAGCCTCCAGGTCCCACCAGCACATCACTGATTGTGGTTTGGACCCATTGGCCTTTCCTCCCTAGAGATAACATCTGGGCTTCAGTTCCAGACCCAGAAGAAAAATAAAACCAACCACAGCTGCATAGAATAATGACCCTTAGCGCTAACCAATCAATCAATGGAGACCATAATCCTGAAAGGACATACCTGGAAAGCTGCTGAAGCTTCCCCTCGGATCTCCCCTAAAATCTCCACCCTTAAAACCCTCAAGAAGAATTCAGAGCACTCTCCTTCCCCTTTCCCCTTTTATCCCTCCAGGTGTTACCATTGTCTTCCTCACATCTAAGCTCCAAGCCCTTCCTTTACCCCATCACTTGTTTTCTACCTCTGTGATTTACCAAATAAATGTTCTGTACAGTTTGAATCTTGGCTCTGAATTATTTCCTAGCCAGATCTCAAATACCAAGGTTGCTGAACCCAGGTCCGGTCTGATCCCAGAGGTCAAACACCTGGTGCCCTTCCCTCTGCCTACAACAAAACCAGTTTAATGTAAAAGAGCCTTGCTTCAGACCCTAATGTTTCTCTCTTCACTCCCTTTACTATTATATTCATATAGTCATAAACAAAAATATTAAGGCAGAAACGTTAAAAAAATTATATGCAACCCCAGTTGGTGTGGCTCAGTGGCTGAGAGTCAACCTATGAATCAGAAGGTCGCTGAGTGGATTCCTGGTCAGGGCATGTGCCTGGGTTTTGGGTTCCATCCCCAGTAGGGAGCATGAAGGAGGCAGCCAATCAATGATTTTCTCTCATCATTGATGTTTCTGTCTCTCTCACCCTCTCCTTCCTCTCTGAACTCACTAAAAATATATTTTTTTAATTGTATAAAAAAGTAGAAAAATAAAAGCATAATGGCCCAGCCTATCATTGCTCAGTGGTTGAGTGTAAGCCTATGAAATAGAAGGTCATGGTTTGATTCCCAGTTCGATTCCTGGTCAGGGCACATGCCCAGGTTGTAAGCTTGATCCCCAGTGTGGGGGATGCAGGAGGCAGCCAATCAATGATTCTCTCTCATCATTGATGTTTCTATCTCGCTCTCCCTCTGCCTGCCTCTCTGAAATCAATAAAAAAATATATTTTAAAAAGCATAATGAACTGAAACCGGTTTGGCTCAGTGATAGAGCATCGGTCTTCGGAATGAAAGGTCCCAGGTTCGATTCCGGTCAGGGGCATGTATGTTGGTTGCGGGCACATCCCCGGTGGGGTGTGTGCAAGAGGCAGCTGGTCGATGTTTCTCTCTCATTGACGTTTCTAGCTCTCTATCTCCCTCTCTGTAAAAAATCAATAAAATATATTTTTTTAAAAAGCGTAATGAATTCAGCTTCAACATTTATAAAATAAGGCCAATATTATCACATAAATTTTATATTTTATATATCTTCTAAATTTTTATAATTAATTAATTAGTCTAAATGGGACACAGCCCTCAAATATACCTATAAATGGTTTTTGTTTCTAATATATTTTTATTGATATCAGAGAGGAAAGGAGAGGGAGAGTGACAGAAACATCAAGATGAGAGAGAATCAT